TTCACTTAAAATCCTACAATTGCATTTTTTACAAGAAATCATTAACTAAAATTAAGATACACTTTCTTCCCCTCGATATCTAAGACGGGAATTTCCGCGCCTGTCGTCACTATTCTCTCGAAAACTAAGCTCGAGGCTCCTCTTTAAGCTATTCTATCGTTATTATGTCTACTTTCATGACACATATCGGACTACCGGAATCACCGCTCACAAATTTATTCTGAAAAAACGAAGGAGCGATGCGGCGAGACGAGGTGAGGCCAACTGGGGCACGGGACGGCGGGACAGCATTAGCGCGTGAGGGGCCGGTCCAGCGCCAGCGCACAGCACGCCAGGAAGCGCGCGTGCGGGTGCGTGCACGCCGGCGCACACCGCAGCGCTGCACTGTGACGACGCTTACGGTCACGTGGGCTCTCTTCTGGCTCGTCCGGCTCCGGCTCGCCGGCCGCGTAGCGCGCGTGCGCCGCGCTGATGTCCGACAGCAGCTCCTCCCACTCACGAGACAGGTCGGCGTGCAGGGGAGGCGGCGGCGGCGCGGAGGGCGCGGCCCGGGCGCTACACGCAGTGCAGGCGCGCGCTTCGCCCCACACACGCTCATCGCCGCCGCGCATCTTCTTGGCTGCGGCCCCGCACTCCTCGCACTCCCACGCTGAATCGAGTAGGCGCTCCGTCTGCACAGCCGCGTTACGCTGCCGCAGAGGGAATCGCAAGCGGAGACCGACTTCCTCGAGGTCGGGACATCGTTGCGCCGCTGTCAGGTTGAGTCGACCGTAGCGGATGGTACACGCGCCACGGTACTCGAGGTACCGCTCGGCCGCCACGTACACGCCACCGCGAGGACTGCGTCGCTCTTCCACTGGGTCGAGGTCGCCGCGGATGTCGAACGTATCGCCGTCCACATAGCGTGGTGCTTCCGCGTCGGACTCGCGCCGAATGGGGCGGAAGTGCGTACGCGCCGACGTCAACAGGTCCTCCCGGGCGGCGGACTCGGACGCGCGCGCTGGGCCTGCGGGCGGCAACGGTGCGGGGGGCGGCACGGCGCGGCCCCGCCTCGGCGGAACTTCAACGAACCCGCTGGTGTCGCGGCTGTGGTTGATAGCGGTGAAAGAGCGCATGGTGTCGGCGACGGCGGCGAGTGCCTCGTAGATGTCTTCACCTTCGTAGAGTGCGAAGGAGTCAAGCTCGGCGGGTGCGGGGTCGGCGATGTGCAAGGGTCGCAGACGCTCAGTTACCGCTTCCACGGGCAGAGTCAGTGACCCACTACCGAACGTTAAATTTTCGAACGATTTTGGCAAACTTTTCTTCTCGGGTGGCGGTAAGTCGGATGGGGAAGAAAGGAGGTCGTGAAAGTCGATCGGTAGGTCCTGGTATTCATCATCTGGAGTGTTTTGATCCCAGAGAGCCTCAATGCTGCGATCAAACTTCGCTTCGAACTTGGCGTAAAGCTCCTCATCGGCAGGCGAGAGTGTGCGTGGCTCCAGATCATCAGCAAGTACCCAATCAGTATCGAGGTCAAGTCCATCATCCCAATCAGGTACAGCATTATCAAGTGGTTTGTTGTTGCGGATGTCATCAGTGATGGTGTTTTCACAAGTGCCATATCCCTCATCAAGAGCTATGGCACGAATAAACTCTTTGACTGGATCTTGGGTCTCCATATCCCAAACACCCTCATATGTAACCCACTCAGGCAAGCTGTCCTTACTTTCAAAAGAGCGATTGTGACCGTTGCTCCTCTTTCTGTTTCTTCTTTGTCCGTGGTAAGAGTTGCGTCGTTCTTTTCCCACAAACTTCTTATTCCTCAAGCTCCAATCCTTGGACGGAGACAATTCGCATTGCATTTTGGCTGTGACTTCAGTGACAGTCTTACGACACCAAGCAGGTGGAGGCAGATAATACTGCAAAGGTGACTCTTGCCCTTTCTTCAGAGCTGGAAATGCAGCGTAATATTGACGTACAGCCTCTGCTTGTTCTATAGAACACGTTGGCATACCTATGACAGAATCTTCGTGATCTTTTATGTCCTGGAGACTAGTACACAGCTGATCAACAATGTTTCCTAAATTGTGTTCCTGGAAAGAAAAAAAATTATGTTTTGACAAAAGTACTAATTAACAGATTGAAAAAAAAGGCTTTGTATGACAAAAGAAAAATATAATCATTTTATATTGAAAATAGTCAGGGCAAAAACGTAAGGACTACTATAAAACTCACTTCATACACGGAATGACAATGCAAATAAGAACTAACCTTACCATAAACAATCAAACAAAGGAAGATTACTTTACTCGAAACCAGTTCGATAATTAAAGGAACACAAGTGCAATCATTTTACAGGCAATATTTTAACTTTGGAAATCACGTTAATAAAGTGTGTCCATGTAGATATAATTTTGACACAACAATCCAAATTTTTAAGAACAAATTACATGGAACATTGCCTATAAAAATTGTGAAACTGATGTACAAATGCTGTATACCTTTCTGTAAGGATTCTTATAATCGTTAAAGTTCTTCATTTTAAAAATCCCCCTGTTATGGTCACTATCCAGTGTTACTGAGCACTGCATTGCCTCTTGAGAGGGGAAAAAATAACCATTAGTCAATTGTTTCTTTATTTGATGATCATTAGCTATTTATCTCTTAATTATCTTTCCACCAGTGCTACTTATCAAATAGTGGGTATTTTGTAGCTATCTCTTGCAATATGATGTGAAAGGAAACAAATTATAATGAATTTACGTTTGGTTTTAAACAAATTTCCTTCCCATGTTAGGAATACCCAAAATACCTACATTCCAGTGTAAAGTGAGTATAGAATCGCTGGAGACATTCTACTTAGGGCTATATTGGTTTGCTCACCTGAATGCAGACTGTAGGTATCAGATGATGAAGTGTGGAGTGTGTTGAAGTGATCTTGACGTGGCAGGCCCGCAGGCTATCGCCCTGCTCTCTCTCTTGTGTTTACGCATCCTGCCCTTGATAGTGTCTGTCGTTATCAAACACCATCATCGCACATAAATCTCGTGAGTCCATTTTACTATCGCCGTGGGCCGTGTGTATAAATCGATCCTTTGTTTGTCCTTCGTTACTAATACATGCTTATATCTTTGGCCTGTTGTTTGCTAGTGTTTCGATTCTCGATATGATGCACCGTTTGACTCTTAATATTTTCGCAATCGCATTGTCACTAGCTAGTAACGAATAACGCACTTCGTGCACCCCTTACTTCTGCAAATACAAGCATTCTTTATGTACGACAGGTTACGTGTGGTATTTTCACATAAAGATCGCTGAGATTTAGGATACGCACAAAGAATTCAGGCATATAAATGCCCGCGGCCCTGTGCGCCATTCTAAATGGGTCGATGTCGATGGCGCCAAAACGTCATTCGACTGAGGGTGAGATTAAAAACTATCCAAAATCTACATTTACACTAACTTTAATAAATTACCAAATAAAATATCAAACCTCCAAACAAAAAACCCAACGTATTTTATCGTAGTTGTACTGAGTCATTGTAATAAAGACCACGGTACTATTGCAATTTCACAAGAAGGCGATAGTGTTACATGATGCACTTTCACTAAGTATGTGCGATTAATTTCCGAGTTGGCACATGAAATATACAACAAAAAATGGAAATTACTCACCTGTAATAATTTAAACGACGTTAGAATATCATGTTATATCAGTATACACACACCCCACATGAAAAAAACATGGCAGCCGCAACGAGTGAGTGAGAGTCAAAAAATTATTTATTTTGCGCAGCTCCGTCAAAAATTTGAATGACGTCGTCTTATAACCAATCAAATTGAGAAGATTTTCAAACACAATTCAAAATGGCCGTTCTTCGACCTGTAGTAAAGACTTTTGTAGCTTGTGATTCGACAAAATAAACTATTGGCTAAACATTGTCATCCAATTCACAAAGTAACCAATGAGTTTTAATATCGATTGACATTCTTTGAATGCCTTAAATAGTTTTTGTCGCAATCGTTAGGCGGTAAATTTAAAATTATCTTTATGTAATGCACACGTACCTATGCTCTGAAAGTCGTATTACATACTTTTTTAATTATACTCAAAATATTTACAGTATCAATTTTATTTGATAAATAAGGTCCAAGCTTAAAGTATTAATTGTATTTATTATATATTTATTAAATTAACGAACTATGTGCTATCAATAAATTATTTAACGGTTCTTCCACCCTGCAAACCGAATAAATATTTAAAAAAAATCTAGTCTATAGCCTTGGAATAGTTGGCATGAGCGCTTGGTTAACCAATTGGGTTAATGTAGTGGAACTCCAGATTTTTCTCAGAACGTGGTTTTTGGAATTTGAGTAAAAATATAACTGAACCTCCATTTTATTGAGAGATTATTACATTAAATCTTATATCTTTTATTCATGTCTTTGGCCTTTTACTGTGAATAATGAGCAGTATTAATCGGGTTATAACGGAGTTGTTAGTACTGAATGGTTCTAGATTTTATGCGCGCACTATTGTCCAGTCCAGACCGTGCGAAGGTCACGAGAACATACCGGCTGTAAGTGCTTTAAAAAAATGGCTCTGGAAACCTTCGTATGAAGGCTACATTCAATATTTGAATTTTATTATAACAAAGCATTTGTTATTTAAAACAGCAACCAGTGGTGGTAATTATTAAGTAAGAAAGAAAGCAATGAACATTATGATTTTGTACCACTACCTCGGGGTGCAAGACAGCGTGTGAAAACTTTTTTCTTCCACCAATCTCTCAATTTTCTAAAATCAGTGAATTAATACCTTGCATCATAGATTATACACTTAATATATTTGAGACCTTGCATGATAAAGGTATCTTCAGAGTAGGCCGTACTGAATTTCATAGATCGTTTTATTTTTATAAACGAAATGAAACCATCTAGAATTGTTGTCATCTGGCAAGTATCGTAAAAGTATATTATGCGACCGAACTGATATAATAAAACAACATTATTTATATCGATGTTTATTATCTTAATCTTAAAGATCAACAGATTAATATCGAAGAGCAGACAATAAATAAGATACTTATCAACATGGGAATTGTGAACAAAGACTAATATATATATTTTTTATAAACAAATTTCCACCTTTGTTCTATTAAGTACCCAGTGAAATTCTTCAAAAAAATGTCACCTGTAACCTCCTTCTGCATGTAATGTTCCTTTTATAATAAAATAAATACAATCTGCTAGTTGTTTACAATTCAACTACTGTTTTACGCAGTTTTCTAAATATATCTATCTTATTTTGTCATGCCAATTATGTGACAGACGATTTCATCAACTTTGCATTAAAAGTCGAACAGTTTATGCTGACTATTTTTATACAGAAAAATAAATAATAATAAAAAAAGTAAAATATTGATCACAGAAATGCATAAACAATTCAACATCTGGAATTAAAATGATAATAACATTATAAATATTTTTGTACGAAAGTTAAAGTTAGGGTAGAATAAAATTATCAGAGCGCAACAAAAGAATGATAATTGTCAACATAGTAACTACGCAAACTATTTACCGTTTTTATAAACCGCGTTATTTCTATTGTGTTGGTTTTATTTAATATCCCAAAGCGTTCATAGCCGCCACTAACTTGTGAAGTTAAATAATAAAAAATAAAAAAACACCATTGCAAATTATTTAAATTGCATTGTAATTTACAACGAAATATAAAAACTGGGCACCACTGAGTTCAGTGGTGGCAATAGTTATTGCTCTCTCATTATTACGAATAATTGAGCTTAATAATTATTTGTTAAATTATGTTTTATATTAAAGTAGGATTTTTCAATGTTCTACGAAGTACATGCGAGGGAACAATTAGTACTCCAGAACCCAAACACCAAATATCCTCAACAGAAATACTGATTGATGAGGACACAGTATCCAGTCAATGGCCAATAGACAATGAGATGATCGAATTAACCAGTACTAGCTGGTAAATAGCTAACTACAACACATTTGCATGACCGTAGTTATTTCATTTACAAAATCACATTTGAACAGCTACGAAACAGTCAATTATAAGCGCTACTTGATTTTAGAGACTGCTATGACATTATTAGCTATAAATTTAACAAATATTAGTAAATTTGTTATTTTATATACAGAACAGAATATGGAAAATTTTCGGAAACGGAATTAAAATATCATCACATTTTAACATTTTTATTCTAGATCAACAGTCAATATATATTCAATTACTATAATCTGATGTAACGTGAACACGTGGCACACTGTAACGTCACATACAACGGGCTACTCGAATTACTCAAAATAATTAACTATTGTTTTGATAATTTTTATTTTTTAAAGACTTTGTTAAAGTACTGTTAAAGATATAAACATTCAATAAAGAGAGACAATAAAGTGATAACAAAATAAAAAAAAGGTCCTAGTTTACCATAAAACTATGGCGGACATAAAAAAATATATTCCAATATTACGGATCACACACATGAATTTATGCGATGCAACCCACCGTGAACCTCATGTGAGGTTACAGTTCTATTTGTTTCGGATTATGACCTATGTCCTATCATCCTTACATAAACGAATTAATACTACAGCTATGGGTGAAAAACATAGGCTGTTTACAATGGAGCCTTTTAATTAAACGATGTGCCCATAGTGTCTATGGTATCACGTTGCATGTCACGCTACAAGTACCGTAACGCCACTAGCGCCATCTGTGCCAATTTACCGCGCACTAAACCGACAGGAAGGCATACCGCATATTTACACATTTCGCTAAACAAATCGATGGCCTCCTCATCAGTGGCTCTCTGGCCGTTTACTGCTCTCCTCGGTTTTCGCGATGACGTCACTCTTAGGGATATTTCCTTGTTCTCCGAATTTCTCGACTGCTTTTTTCATTTCTCTTCGCTTCTGGGCCTCCCTTATGATATCGAATAGACTCTGGAATTTTAATTAGATATACAAGCAACAAACACAGGATAAAATTGTATTAATAATAATGTTTTCAGTATTGTTCGTGATACTTATTAAAAAAAAACGTTTTTTATTATCAAAATGGCGAAACGCTTGGCACTAATTATTATAGTTTTTCTAAGACTCTAGAGTGTGCGAAATTTCGAATTATAAATAAACGAGATTGAATTTAGAACTTTCTCTTTTAATTTTTGTACATTCGACTAACAGTAAAACTAAAAATAATAATAAAATAATAATAATAAAAACACAGTGGTAATTTCCGTCTGGAGCCTACGTTCTTTCTCTTCATAAACGCCTGAACTGAGCATTAAATTAGAAGAGAAATTAATTTTTCATGAATTTGTTATAATCACTAATGGGCCTTAAGTGCTTAAAGTTTCTTCACTAATATTGGTTAGAGTTAAAATATATTAAAATGATGATAATTAAGTACTCCCGGGGCTGACCCGCCCTTAAAAATCGAACTATGTACTGTTTGCCGGCAGGTTTAAGAATAATGATGGCGCAATCTTAAAACTCTATATTTTTAAGCTATTGCATAGCTTTTATCGCGGGCTTTGAGCGCGGCGACTGAATCAAGAAATTCCGTAACGAAAATAACCTGACACCCCCACTACGCCTACTATGTAGCTCGCGTTTAACACATTCAGACGTTGCGCTTGTGTAGTGTTTGTGAATAAGCGCGCGGCGTGACATCGCACTGCCACATGCACATCATGAAAAGTCTGCCCATCTCTCCCTCACGCGGTCTAGGTTATGAGTGTGAAGGGGACAGTTAATGTTTTGCTTTTGTTAATGTTTATAAATATAGCGTGGTCTTATTTTATTGTTGTTTTAATATTAAATTATTATTGTCGATTTATAATTGCATAAGTTGATAAAAAATGCTATGTTATAGCTTTACCGCGGCAGTCTCCGAGTGCCACACGTGTTTTTTTTTATTAAAATCAAAATTTGCTGCATATATTGCAGCCTAATTTTGTTTACGAACATTCACAGAAGTGAACGTCGGTAGACTCCGAGCGACAGCTGGCGTTGTTACTTATAACACTAAGCATACCATAACAGGCCAATGACCTATTTTGAACTTTTGCATTGAAAATGAATATATTTTTGTTTGTGCTGTTCTTAAAATCATAGATTCGCGTATGGAAAAACTGATCAAATTTATTTGTATTTAGTAAATTTTTTTCTCTCTAAGCACCTGTCATGTTTGTACATACATTGTACATTAGCAAAATCTTCAAATTCCAAAGCCAAATTCTTATTTAAAAAAGAGAGCCAGATTGTAAATTATTTTTTTTTATTGAAAATGCATGTATCATCTTATTGCTTTTGTACAGTTGAGTTCATGATTTTTTCTTACCAATTAATTTACAGTTATTATACTATTTTTATTTTGTTTTGTTTTATTTTGACTAATACTTGTCATATACTGTTATCTACCCGCTATGGTAAAAATAGGTACCAGTCAGTATTGGTATGATTAGTGTTAGTATTTTTAAAACAAGAATGTGACTGACCTTTCCATCGGATTCACTGTTCTTGTCCTGTTCTTTGGCGGCACTGGCGGCTTTATCTAACGCCTTCTGTATCTTGCTTTCGACCTCGAGAATCTCCTCTTTGTCGAGTAGTTCGATTAACTCGGCCATCTGTTTCTCTGATAGATTCACGTTTTCGTTACCGATTATTTCGAGCATCTGTGAATTGAAAAAGATACTATTAGCGATAGCTAGGAATGGATGTTGGGACATAGCACTGATTCCTCGATTACATTGGTCCAACGGCTGTCTCACCCTTCAAATTATGGGCGATTGCTTTGTGGAAGAAGACTGAAATCATGCCACACTATCGATGCTCAAAATAGGTATTAGTAAGCTGCGTGCGAAAACAGGTGAGGTTAGTACTAACAATAATAGCGATTAAAATAGTGTTACTAAATAAATTTTTTTCAAAATTTAACTGTACGAAATGCTTCTCTATTCTACATGAAATCAATTCGCCTGGAAAACACTGTTTGTTACGTTTCTAGTTTTGATAATTCTACTGGCCGCTATGTAATAATTCTTGAGTATTAATATTAGCAAGTAAACCTGCTTTTTCTGCTTAAGTTCTTTGAAAAATTAATTAACTGTTGACCTGTTTCCAAAGGCCAAAAAATTACCTTCAAAACATCATCAATCTTCAATTGCCCATCAAAGTCGTCGTCTAGCCTGCCCAGTACATCTTGAATTAACTTCAACTTAGCCTCATCGGGGACTTTTTGTAAGCTCTTAATGGAATGCATCAGTTCGTCGATTTGGATCAACTGTTCTTTAGCTTTCTGTGGTTCGGACTTGGTCTGTTCCAGTGTCGTCTTCAAGGCTTTCTCTTTGCTTTCAAGCTCCACCAGGGCAGCGTCAAGTTTGCTTATCATGTTATTGACAGCTCGATATAATCTGTAATCATACAGTACATTTGTTATTAAATTTGAGTTCGAAGTCAAGCACCAAACTACTGTAGAAGACTCTTCGAATCTCGTTTGAAGACAGATACATATGTCATAGCACTTAAGAAACACTATGGAAGGAAATTTGATCCTAGCTGGACGGTATTTGGCTACAAAAGATATCTGCAAACACACTGAATGTACTTTTTTTTTATATTTCTTAGGTGGGTGAACGACCTAGCGGCCCACCTGACATTAAGTGGTTACCGGAGCCCATAGACATCTACAACGTAACCTTCACCTACCTTGAGATATGGGTTCGAAGGTATCAGTTTTTACAGCACAACAGTTGCCCCACCCTTCAAACCGAAACGCATTACTGCTTCACGACGGAAAGAGGAATGCTGGTGGTACCTACCCGTGCGGACCTACCACCAGTAAAAAGCGTGTAGTGGATCTAGGTAGAAGTGTGGATGTAGTGGGCGATTGTAAAATGAGATGATGCGATCATACCAAAAACTTATAACAACTAATATTCATAGAGTATTGCAGGAGCAAACCTGGATACCCAGTGTCATAATTTATGGCAGCGGTATTGTAACTCATTTTGCTGTCTCATGATCATTGACCACCCAAACTGATACCTACTCTGAAACTGGTAACTACTTAGATCTAGACAAAGATGTCGTGTCTACGTGTCGTCAAAAAAAAATTTTTTTTTTCGAATAATTTTCATTCTTCGTACCTTCGTGCACCTTTCGTAAGTTTGATATCGGCCTGCTTTGTCTTGACAATCTCGTGCATCTCTTTCACATCTTCGCTGTAGTCCAACAGTTCCGTTTTTAGCTCCTGAATGCTTTCCTTCTCGAGAAGCAAGGACTTCTTCTGCTCAGCTGTAATAGATACAAAGTTAAGAGATGAAAAATGTACTATAGACATTTCTGAATTGTAAACTTTGAACAGCAATAAAAATGTTTGATGCGTACACGAGCGTAAGCGATGCCGACCTTGGCATATACACCTATCCGTGATAACAGGTCGGTCCCAGTAGAGCGTAACGTGACCATTTTCACGAACTTTTGAAGTCGTCGTGGCCTTAAGGATAAAACTTCCGGTGCATTCGTATATAGCGATGCACCGGTGTTCGAATAGCGCAGGCGGGGGTACCATTTTTTCTAATGAAATAAGTACTCAAAAAATTTTCACGATTGACTTCCACAGTGAAGGAATAACATCGTGTAATAAAAATCAAACCCGCAAAATTATAATTTGCGTGATCACTGGGGGTAGGACCTCTTGGGAGTCCGCACGGGTAGGTACCACCACCCCGCCTATTTCCGCCGTGAAGCAGTAATGCGTTTCGGTTCGAAGGGTGGGGTAGCCGTTGTAATTGTACTGAGACCTTAGAACTTATATCTCGAGGTGGGTGGCGCATTTACGTTGTAGATGTCTATGGGCTCCAGTAACCACTTAACATCAGGTGGGCTGTGAGCTCGTCCATCCATCTAAGCAATAAAAAAATAAAAAGAACTGGTTGAGGGTGGTATTGGTAATAAGGTACAGCAGATTCAAGAAAACCATGTTTCAGAGCAAGTTGTTGATGGATAATCCTAGCCACTTAGGTCTATGCAAGTACTCGCCATTAGCAAAACGAGAACGGCCAGAAACAATATGTCTCTCACGGACGGTGGACGGTCCCATTCTTTAGTATATATTTCCGGTAATTAATATTATTATGAAGCTCAAACTTCAACTACTTTTATATTGCTGACTACGTTGCGAGAGTCGGCCGTTAACCGTAATATATTAATACCTTCGAAGCAGAAAATATACTTGAACACGGCCCAGTTGACCGTTAGTCATCATTACTAGTAAATATTTCTAACAGCAGGTTTAACCGTTGTCAGATAACTCTTTTGAAATTCCGTATTTCAAATATGAGTCGTCTATTATCAAAGGTGGCAATCTGTGCATTTGGACAAAAAAATGTTATTGATATGTCAATACAGATTGATTTGAATATAATCGTCTCCTTCAAAGAATACGGTTCAAAACCTGCATTAAATAAAGGTTAATAGTTAACCTGTTATTTATCTAAGATGTCGTTCCGAAGAGTTTTGTGACTGCCAATGGAANGATTTGAATATAATCGTCTCCTTCAAAGAATACGGTTCAAAACCTGCATTAAATAAAGGTTAATAGTTAACCTGTTATTTATCTAAGATGTCGTTCCGAAGAGTTTTGTGACTGCCAATGGAATACAAAGTCAATAATTCGTTTTTCTGATTTACCAATAATTGTCCAAAAGTCAGATTGCCGGCTTTGATAATAGTCGACTAATATATAGGTCACGGCGAACATAGATTCACTAGCATAATGTAATCAATACTGTCTAAGCAACACAAATAAATTACATTTATATAAATAAATAAATGAATCATTTATTTAAAGGGAAATAATAATCGTATTGTTTTTATTACTGAGTGTTATTATAAAATTCGACTTTTCGTTGCTCAACTATAAATAGAATAGATGAAAATCTGTTGATTAAAAATTAGATCAACAAACTAAATGATATTTTTTGATTAACATAAGTTATTGATCACTTTTTTTTATTATCCACATTATAGTTTTGTAAGTTGAAAAAAACAGTTTTTAGGACCTTTCAAGTACATATTAATTACCTATTAAAGTACCTACAAACATTATAAACTCCTATCCATAGACTCGAAAAACATTAATGTTCCGTATTATATTTTTCATGGATGCCGTAATTAGCAAAAATATTTCTTGAAAACCAACGTATGTGAACTTGAACTTCCGGGTCGTTTACCTAACTATACTGCGTAATATGGAACAGAGCCAATTGTATTTAAATTTACTTTGTTGTATTTGTTAATGAACTAAATTTAGTATAATCAGTCATATAAGTCAAGATTTTAGGTAATTCCGTTTGAGTAGTTAGGACATATCCACCTATAGTTCCCTCGTCCTAATCATGGTTGAAATAAGGTAATTAATTATGTTAGAAAAATAATGATGTGACTAAAATAATATAAATATATAATAAATAATAAAGATAAAATTTACAAAGATAAATGTTTTCAGTTTTTTATTCAAAAACCCTAAATAATATCTGAACAAAAATATATGAGATGTGCATTTTTTTTTATTGGCCTTGTAGGCAGACGATCATACGGCCCACCTGATGGTGAGTAGTTACCGTTGCCCATGGACTTCAGCAATGCCAGGGCAGAGCCAAGCCGCTGCCTACCGTTTAATACTCTCCACAAGCCTCGTTTGAAGAAGGACTTGTCATAAGAAGACTATCAACGAAAGTTAATGCACGAAAGTTAATGCAGTTAATAAAGCACATTATAAAGTTATGAATTTCCTGACAGATATCACGGTATGGCGATAGCGTGTTTCCTCCGCATTGTTTAATATTATTATTATATTTCCTTTTTGTATTTTTAAAATGTAAAATTGTTATTGGGCATTTCAAAACAAAGGAACATATAAGAATTCATATAATAAAAGGCAAACCTGCTTTTTTTCGCTTATTCTTCTCAAATGATGGTAGGCTAAAGATATAATACATTTTTAAACTAAATGCTTATGTCATGACGAAATCTCTCAGTGATATAAGCTTGATTTGAATTTGAACACAGAAATAAGGTCGAAACAAAAACTATGTTGAAATCAAAGTTATCCTTAAACGGGATTGCCAAACAGCTTCCGTTTTTCTTCCCTGCTTATTCGCTAATAGCCTAAATTTGCTGGCCCTAGAGCAGTGCTTCGCAGAATCTATGATCGGATCGGAATCGGGACCCACTGAGAAGATCTGGTGAGAAACTCAGTGGGAGACTCTCAGTGGTGGACTCAGTTTCTAATGCTCTACTAATCTGTTTGAGGTCATCCTGTGGATTGGGGGATTAAATACAATCACTAACTCAAGTGAACATTAACCGCTGGATTACCACTGATTTATTTTGTGTATACAGAACACATAATAACTTGAAGTCCACAGAAACTAGAAAATAATATAGGATTCAATGCATTCTTACCCAATTTTTCCAAAGCGTCTTCAATAACTTCAATGTCCTTGCCAGATAAACCTTCTTCAGACTTCTGTTTGGGTGGGTCAACTGCAATCACTGGAGCTGGATCAACTAAAATTGGAGTTGACTCAGCATCAATGATGGGTGCTTTGTCTTTCAATTCCTCCTTCTCTCTCTTCTTGGCTTCAAGCAGTTGCTTCTCCCTTTCTGCCTCTTGGAGTTCTTGTTTCTCTTCCTTAATCTTCATTTCTTCAAGTCTGATTGCTTCTGCTTTGGCCTATTATAATTATAAATTCTAAATTTAAAAATTTCAACAAATTAATTTAATTTAAAAAAAAAAATTTCATTTTCGCATTTGTTTTCTCTTTACATCGGTATACAATAAACTATATTCCATATTTACTCTAAACTTTACTCTAATATTTCATTATAATCTTTCAAATTACATTAATTGGGTTATTAGGTCTTTCTTACAAAACCTTGTTTCAATAGTATTGTAATTTTTGTTTTGAATGGTTTAATGAAAAATGTACCTTAAAATCAAGTTTGCCTTCCTTTTCTCCAATTGCAGCTTTAGTTTGTGTTGCAACATGTTCTGGCAAAGCTGAGATTGTAGCCTTCAGCTTATATGTTGTTGGTACATGCTCCGGTACCATCAGAGCTCTTGACAACAACAACAACGAAGGGGGAACCTTTTCATTCAGTGATAAATCTAACCAATTCCTCAGTTCTTTACGTAAGCGCTCTTCAGACACACCATATGCTCTCATTCCTCGTGCTCTACAAGCTTGTTGTAGTTCACTAAAGTTCAAACTATCTACACCTTCTTTAGCTATCATTTTGTCATCTGCCGCTAGTGACCTTAACTTCATTTTGAGATTAAACCTTAACATTGCACTAGTACCAATTGTAGAAACATTTAAAACTTTGCAAAGAGCAACAAGGTGTGGTCTCTGGAGAGAATCAAGGGTGATTTCNATTCCTCGTGCTCTACAAGCTTGTTGTAGTTCACTAAAGTTCAAACTATCTACACCTTCTTTAGCTATCATTTTGTCATCTGCCGCTAGTGACCTTAACTTCATTTTGAGATTAAACCTTAACATTGCACTAGTACCAATTGTAGAAACATTTAAAACTTTGCAAAGAGCAACAAGGTGTGGTCTCTGGAGAGAATCAAGGGTGATTTCATCTTCAAACAACTTTGAAAATTTCATAATCTCTTCACTTGTTGCCACATCACCTGATGTTCTTATTCTACTAAAGAAATTTGAAAACTCTTTAGCTAATTCAGAATGACGATTACTAGCTTGTGGTGCCATCTGATCTAATGTTTCTTGGAAAAACTTGGCCATTTCTAGTTTGACTTTCAAATGTTGCTTCAGTTTTGCTTCTTTTTGACTACTACTTTCAAATGTAGATGGTAACATATTGGGAAAAAGCTTTATGAATACTGGTAAAAAGAATTCTAAGAATGGAACTATTATAAATATGATGAAGGGCACCATTCTAAACAGATCACCAACTGTTGTCACTAGCAGTCTATGTTCCCTCCTAGTTAATGTATCTCCTTTTAATATTCTAAATAACAATGAAATTGATATTCTAGTTTCTATGAAAAGCAACCTGAAGCCATGGTAATAATGGCGAAGTTCATCCATAACACGTTCCTTGATACTCTTCTTTCTCTCTTCTTTTTTAGGGAGTTTTTCTTTCTCCTCTATTTCTTTTTTAATTGTAACAACAGTAGCTTCTACTTTTGAGGAAGGTTTTAATGGTTCTTTCTCAAAATAATACTGACTAGTGGAAAATTGTCTGGTAAATGTAGGATAGTACACCTGCATGCTGAGAGGTTTCTGTGTGACATCATGTTGGAGGCCTATCGGCTGTGCTGTGTAGTACGATAGTGACCTTGACAATGTTATGTATGGAAAATTTTGATACTGTCTTGTCTCCCATAATATTGCTGAAATAAAAAAATATTAACTGAAAAAGTATATAGATACCGAAAGCGGTAGATGAAGGTATTTTATAAAAAATGAACTTATTTAAAATTTCAAATAAAAAAAGTTATTGCATCAACCGTATGATAGAGGACAGTCGCTTAATTATACTTCATCAATCCAAAAAACTGTATTGATCATTTCTCGACGAATAAACACACTTATTATCTCTTCATTACATAAAATTCAATTCTGAGTGAAGTCATAGTACAACAATAATCATACGATATTTAACAATAGGTTATGAAGTGCAGTTTCAGTAGTTTCTAAAAGGTTAAAATAACTCACTTGATTTTTTTATAAACCGGCATCGATTTAAAATTATTCTGTTCATCTTTTTTTCTTTAGTTATTCCTTAATATACCATTAATTGCAACAATTTTAACAAAAACAATGTCAACCTTTACACACCATGACAGTTAAATATCTCAAATATATTAAGTGTATAATCTATGGCTAAATACACAGGTCACAGATTGAGGAATAAGCGATATAACGATTAGAGTCGATGGCAACGATCTTTCGCGATATAACGTGTACTCGTTTGGGATTCCTCAACGAAAATCTTTAGTAAAAGGTAAAACATTTAACTATTTGTATTGCTGTAATGAAAACGCGGAGCGCTGTTTATCTCCGAAGTTTTTTTAATTTTTTTTATTGCTTAGATGGGTCGACGAGCTCACAGCCCACCTGGTGTTAAGTGGTTACCGAAGCCAATATAGTTATATTCTAGTAAGTCCGATCGTTATCTTGTTCAGCTTCCGCTACGTGCAAAATATTGAGTTGTAAAATACAGATAGATGAAACTTCTTCATTTGTACATGTATTACCAAAATACTTTTTAAGGTAGAAGGTAACAATGTCTAAGGCTCAATTAAGATTAATTAATCGACTTTGACGAACAAAATACTCTATTTGAAATCGATATTACAACGCAATAAATAATATGAGACTGATTTCACAATTTAAAAAAAATTATTTTTTCGCTTTTTCATATGGTTATTAAAATGATTTTCATTTTCGCAGAAAAAGTAGTTAGCGCATCTCTTATCATCTGAAGTAGTAATTTAAGATCACAATTGATAACGACATTCCGCAAAAAAGTTAGTTCACCATAGCATAGTAATGAGTATGAGTGAAAAATTACATGTCTATAAAAGGTGGCTTAGTCAGGCTTAGTATATGAATCTATTTTCAAAGTTATTTTATAATTTGTATTAGGCACAGCGATTCTTCCTGAAAAGTTTGATCTGAATCGAAGCTTGGAAAATCTGTTCTCAATGAAATCGACATTGAGAACATCGATTTCTTAAAGATCGCTTTTTTGTTTCGAATCGTAATTTTAACGTATGGAGGGTAGAGATAAGGAGAACCGTCTCATATGGGAGAAGCTTGAAAAAGTGTCCCACTTTCAGACTAAATTACAGTTCAAAAATCCTCCAGAATGGCGCTAGCATAGGAGCAGGGTATGATAATATGAACTGAGCAGGTGTTAACTGATTGAAGTATGCTGAATTAAGAAATTTAATATATTTAATGACTAGAGTAGTTAGTGACAGTGTAACATACAAGACCTCACATGTTTACGTAGTCCAAACTAATTTCGTCAATATAACCTAAAATTATTGCTGTAGTAAAACGTGAAGACGTCGATTGCATTTTCTTATCAGCTTTAAATAAAATACCTTTTGTGATTTTGTAGTGCTTACGGTTCTTTCGTCTTTTTTTATTTCTCTATCTTATTCTAATAACTTTCAGTGCGTTTTTCAAAATTTACCCGGTTGCTACTGTAGCGCCACTCTTATTTAGCAGATTTTAATGGACACTTTTTCACATACAGAGACGGTTCTCTTTACTCCTTACTTCTACCCTCCATGTTTTAACGTAACAAAAATATCAACTATCAACAAAAATACTAACATTCGCCAACAAAATCTATTTTGGTTTCTTTTTTTTGTCGTTGTAGAGTTATGATAAAGACTCTTGAATTCATGCAGTCATCTCTATAAGTTTAAGTTTTGCTTACTTTTTAGTCCAAAAACATATTCATATATCAACCTCGTATCGCCATTCGCTATCATTAGTTAATACGTTTGCAACTAAAGAGTAAAGTATGGAGGTCTCATTTGTAATTATATACAAAAAATCGGAGATTTTAAACCAGGCCAAATAAAAAACAAAACATTTCTTACACAGATAATACTCTTAAATCACTTATATTACATAAATAGTAGTAGTAAAGTCATAAATTAAGGTTATTATCTATATTTTCCGAACAGACAAGACTGTATGGGCTTAGATCCCCTTGCCTTTCCTAAAAAGGAAAAATTGACCCAAAAAAATGTCTATGTCTATGTCATAGATTATACACTGGTCTATGTTATCCATGTATGAATTTGAATGGTCTGTAATTCTTTAACGCACATGTCCAGGAAAGGGCGGGAACGTCAAAATAAATAGGCGCTTTTTTCAAGTTAATTTTAATTTATTTGGTTTTAGCCCTTTTTTACGACATTGTTTCTTAATTTTTCACTGTGTTAGAGTTTAAAATTATATTCCATAAGTGTGTTCCGTATTAATGGACGATGACGACAGGGGTGAGGGCTTCAGCTCCGCCCCTGTGTCCGCTCCCAAAATAATGGGAAAACGAAGATTGACCTCATCTGAATACGACGAAAGCCGCAAAATAAAAATGACTTTCATTAAAAATAAGCGCGGTCTTTTTAAAGACCACCATGCTCTTTATGAAGACCTTACAAAAAAAGAATACCCAGTGCTTCTTCAGTCAAGCCTCTCGCAACCAAATAACAGAGTCCCAATGGATCTGTTAAGAATAAACAAATCTTTAAAAAATGTTCAAGGGGTACAGTATGTCAAAGCTGCTGGAAACTTTTTTGCTAAAGTTTACTTTGGCTGTGCTCGGGATGCCAACGCTTTTTTATTAGATGTAAGCTTTATGGAGTTAAACAATTGGACAGCAAAAATACCTTACGATAGCATTGAGAGTCAAGGAATTATTCGAGCTCCTGTGGAATTAGATGAAGAATCTCTTTTAGTAAATTTAAAAGCTTCATGCACAATACTCGGAGTAAAAAGATTTTTCAAAAAACAAGAGAATGGAAGTGACAAGCCACTGCAAACTGTGCTGGTTACATTTTTGGCGTCTAGCCATCCTGATCACGTCACATACGAGCATATTTGGATGCCTGTTTCGGATTATATTAGACCTGTGTTACAGTGCTTCAAATGCTACAAATTCGGACATGGAAGTGGTGCCTGTAAAGCCACTCAAGTTTGCTCTATTTGTTCAGGCAATCATTTTTATAAGGAGTGCAGCACTCCCAACATCTTCAAGTGCTCCAACTGCAGTGGACCACATTCTGCAGTTTCTTACTCTTGCTCAGTAAAGGCAGCCAAGGTTGCTGAAGTTAAAAATAAGATCATCGGCAAGCAAACATCATATGCAGCCATACTAAACACGTAACAAGCTATTGCAAGAAATTAAGGCAAGTGCAAATCTCAAGTGAAACTTCGATCGCAATAATGGATCTGTCATGACGAGT